ACCCGCCGCTCAGCTTGTCGGCGGCTCCAAAAGGGCCGCCGCAATACCCGATCTTCGCAATGCGGGTTTTCCCCATTGCGACGATCAGGGATGTTTCCGTATAGCGATCCCGAAAAAGGGATCGCTATACGGAAACATCGCTATACGGTGCACTCGTTAAGCGAGGCACCACTGTAATTAATTAGGTCTTAGTTTGGAGGGATTACGCAAAATCTATTTTGCTGATTCATATTTAATGCCTTACTGAAGTTTGATTAAGGCACGATCCATTCATTAGGCCAAAGGTGCTCTAATCTGCTCTATGTGACAACTTTTCCTGTTTTCCTAAGCCCTGTGCTCATGTACAGTATATAGGAACATAGGGCATTCTTTACACTGACTTTGCCATTTTGTTCCAGAATTTAATCCTGTAGTTGCTGTCTGAGTGTAGTTCTGCACATCACTGAATAAACATAGTTTTATTCAAAATTTGGGAGTGTAATGCATCATCTTATATAAAGTACTCATAATTCTCACATATAGTACACAATTTTTTTATTCCTTATCCACTACTTTTCATTATTTGTATTTTTTTTGTCCTTTGGAAGAAATATAGCTATCAGAGGACAAAATAGTTCAAATAATGAAGAGCAGGGGGATAAGGAATAAAAATGAAATTATGTACTATATGTGACAAATATGAGTACTTTATTTAAAGTGTTGCATTATACTTCCAAATTTTGTCTTTCAGAATTAAGAGTTTTAGGATCACAGTTAGAAAGTATACTGAATGTTTGTGTGATATTTGATGCATTATCTGTAGCAATCTTTATTAGATGGCCAGATGTTAGACTTTTACATTCCGAGTCAATTAAAAAATGCTGTTAAAATAATTTATTAATTTATATTGCGTATTTCTCCCTTGAAAGACCCCAAATGGCTTATAAATTACTTTAAAAACAGATACTCAAATAGTATATTAAAACACAGTAGACATTTTAATAATTCACTTTTGAATAATGTGCCATGTTAAAAACACTGAATTAGCATGGTTAAAACTAATGTAATAATACAATAAAAGGAGCTGAACAGCCATCCTCATCAGTGAACCAGTGGCCAAATCTGTGTTCTAGAAAACTGTATGCTTGTTTCAGAAAGGACAGCCAGGTGGAGGGCTGTCCAGTATCCCTCTGAGGGGATTTCCATGGTGTTGGAGCAGTCACCAAGAAAGCCCTTTCTTACAAAGTTCTCAGCAAATAGGCCTCTCGTGAACATCATGGGACCAGGGCATGCCCATATGGGGAGATGTCATCCAAATGCATTAAACCATAAAATGCACTATAAGTCATAACCAATGCTTTGAATTGTATCCTAAAATGGACTAGTACTCAGTGAGCCTGTTGTAGCAAACAATTTTTATTCTCACAGTAGTTGGCTTCAGTCAATAGCTTGGCCTCACCATTTTGGATATATTGACAATTTGAAACTCTTTCGAAAGGCATTCCCAAATATAACATGTTACTGTACAGTAATCCAAACACCATGTAACCAATCCATATGATATTGTGACCCGATCAGACTTCTCCAGGGATAGACATGCAAATAGGTTCTTGCCCACACCACCAAAACCTGAGCATTCAGACTCTGGGCTGAATCGATAAATATAGTCAAGCTGCAGGTCTGAGTTTTCAAAGGGAGTATATTCAGTTCAGCAAAGATTGGGTGCCTTTCCCTTGATTTGCCTTTTGAATTTTCAAAAGAACTTGTTTAAGTTAAGCATCAGTTTGCTCACCCTCATCCATTCTGTAAATGGATTAAGAAATAATGTACCTTTAAGCACATATCTTAGACCAGTGATTTGTTTTCAATATTGGAAGTGAGCCAAGTCTTTTTACATGTCCCCCAAGCATTCTTTATTTCAAGAACGTGATGGAGGGCTATTTTTGTTGCTTTTCTTTAAAAACCAGGAGTCAACATCTCTTATAGATCACAGTCTTCCTCCTTTCTGTTCTTGGTATAAACTGGAGATGCTGCATTTAATTTGATGACTTGATTAGTTTTGGTAACATGTGGTATTGATTAACTTAAGTGAATTTCTTTTTTTCTCTCTTAATAGATAAAGATCAGGTTCCCTTACTTGAGATGAAAGTAAGTATGCATTTAATATCCATGTTAAAGTATTCCCTCCCCCCCCCATTTTGACTATTGCCTCCTGAATATTAATGAAATGGGTTAGTGTTCTATGTAAATCTTAGGTGGGCTTTCTGTAGTTTTGCATGCTGTATGTCAGTTATGTGAGGAATTTATGTTCCTTATACAACATTTTTGCCATGAGGAATTCTGTATATATGGGTTTCTAATAAGAGCTTGGTTTATGTTTTGCTCCTGGGCTTGAATCACCTCAAATCCCCAAAAAGGACACATAATTGATATAAGGGATACAGTGGTGCCTTAATTTACAAACTTAATCCATTCCAGAAAATGGTCGTAACTTGAATTGGTCTTAAGTCAAAGCACCATTTCCCATAGGAATGCATTGAAACCCCCATTAATCCGTTCTGGCCGGGGGGGGGGAAATCACTGTAAAACACACAAAAACATTGCAAGCCCCATCAGAATGCATTGGAGCTGAAAAAAAATCACCAAAAAACAAAACAACACAGCAAGCCCCATTGGAATGTGCTGGGGCCAGGAAAGAAAAACGCCCCCCCTAAACGCACACCACCAAACAGAGCAAGCCCCATCGGAACGCACTGGGGCCCCAAATAAATGTTGCCAAAAAACCAAACCAAACCAAAACAGAAAAAAACCCATCAGAATGCGCTGGGGCTGAAAAAAATTGCCAAAAAACAAACAACACAGCAAGCCCCATCGGAATGTGCTGGAGCCAAAACAAAACAAAACAAAAAAAGCCAACCACACTAAAAACTAAAAAAAAAATTACATCAAAGAAACATACCCCCCCTTCTATCAATTATCTTGTTTTGGTGTTTTTCTTTCAACCTGTAGTTTTCATTTCACATCTTAACTAAAAACTCAAGGCACTGAAGCTGCACTGTTTTGGCAAGGTATATTAGTTAGTTATGTCCTGTCAGTGGGAACCAACTTATAGTGACCCTAACAGAGCTTTCAAGAGTGACCCTAACAGAGCTTTCAAGATAAGTGAGATATTTAAGGTTTTACCAGTTCCACTTCACCAGCGAGTTTCCATGGCGAAGTGGGAATTTGAATCTTGGTCTCCAGAGTCCTAGTCTATCTGTCTCTCCACTACACTACACTGGACACCTACTAGGTACATTAGGGTCTATATAATAGAGGCTTGTAATAATCATCCATCATCAAAACATAATACACAACACTGCCCTTTAAACTGTACAATAAGGACATTGTACAACAAATACACTGGTGCATTTCCTCCCAGTTTCATTGCTGTTGAGACCATATAGGAATATAAATGGAAGACTTCTTTCCCATGAATGGTGATTCTTAAAATTCAGGATGCTGTACTTAAAAAATGTTTGTTGCCCACTAGGACTTGTGCTAATTGTAAATGGTTATGTTGGTATTTTTAAATAAATACTTTATAAGAATGTTTGTTAACTATCTTCTTAAATTTGTAGGGAAATGAAACAATTCTCATGAATAGCTTATACATACTTCATGAAAAGCTGGCACAAATAGCAGGTAACATTTAAATTTGTTGGGTAGCTAAACATTTGAATGTAAAAATTTGACTGTATGAATAGTGGGATCTTAGACATTCAATAAAAGTCAGAATAGAGATGTCTTGGAGCACCTTCTTAAATATGAAAAATGCAATATATAGCAAAAAGAAGACAGTGACTTAGAGTGTATATTGTAAGTTGTTAGGTAGTTGTGCATCGACTGTATGGAATCATAAATGTTAACATAGACTGTTATGAGAGATAAATGTGGATTTATTGCAGGATAATCAATTATTGGAACAAGAGACTAACAAAGACATGTTAAGATAAATTATCTACTGTATGGCTCTCCACGGAGGACGGCACACTCCTCTTTTCTCCTTCACAACATCCCGTGCAGAAAGCTAGGATACTTTGGTCATGTGATGAGAAATAAAAAGTACAGATTGTTATAACTGGTCATTTAGAGTGAAAGGAGGAGAAGAGTTTTTTGCTGAAGAAATTTGGAGACTGGTTTGCTTGTAACATAACATAATTGTTTAGGTTTATGTGTGAAGTCAAAATAGCTGTGTTGACTTCTAGCCGCAGTCTCAAATAAGAGAGAATTAAGAAGCAGCAGTAGAATGGAAAAACAGAACAGAACCTTCCCTTTTGTGAATTTTTGTCTTATCTTGGGATCCAAGTCTTATTTATTCAGAGCATCATCGAACTTAAAGCAGATGTTCATTAATCTGAAGTTTATTAGCCATTGAACGTGATGCTTAGGTTACAATCCTGTAGCCCCACTTATCTGGGAATAATCCACATTGGATTCAGTGGTCCTTATAATTCGTATAGACATAGCTAGTGATATATAAATTGTTCTCTAGATTTTTTGTGAAGGTATTTATAGGATGTCTTAGTTAAAACAACATGGCAGATAGATCACAAACAATAAGAACGTTCTGATGTAATAGCATATTGTAACATTTGTATATATACATTTCACTTGAGAATTTGTTTCTAAATATATTTTTAGTATGAAGAAATATTACTGTCTAAAAGGGAATGTTATGACTTTAATTCTTGTAGGAGATCATGAATGCGGCAACTCTGTCAACAATGGTCTTTCCGTCCAGGAAGCAGCTTCATATTTAAAAGTAAGCAAATGTTTGTCATTTTGTCATTGGGATTATCTCTGTTACATGTTCCATTGTGGGATGGCACAGTTTTTTTAATCTTGCTTTTTCCTTATTTCTGTGCATCATATGGGCAATCAGTGAACAGTGGTATACTATATGTTGAGTTCATTCAGGCACAACATTTTCAGTTCTCTTAAGTGCTGAAGTGGGGAAGGCCATAGTACAATGATACAATATATGTATGGCAGGCTAATTGCTGAAGATTCTGTTATCAGTATCTTTAGGTATGTCTGGGAAATCTGCCTGATACCACAGGTAGTCTACAATACTGGCTTGATAAAATAAGGGTCTGAGTTGTTACAAACTAGCTTCCTATGGTCCTTCTGGTGTCCTTTTGACTATCTATAGATTTCTCAGTTTTGAAAGGAAATCTTCTAGCAATTTGGCAATTAAGAAGAGCTAACAAAGATGTTTGTAGTGGAGAAACACAATTATATATTGAAAAACACGTAACTAGGGATGTGTTTTCGATTCAAAATTTGATTGGAAAACAATTTTATTTTTTATTTTATTTATTGCATTTATATGCCACCCATCTAGACATAGTCTACAAAGCAAAATGGAGTATTTTTTTGCTTCAGAACTGATCCAAAGCAAATAAAGGAAACGTGAAGCAAAGCTTGAATCAGATTGGGAGTTCTTTCAAGTGCTAAATTTTGCTTGGAACTTCAGAAGTTAAAAATGCTGAAAATTGGGAGGAGGGAACAACTTGGTTGCAGATAAGTCTCATTCTGAAAATGAAAGGAAAAGTCTAATAGAACCAAGAAGCCCAAAGTGTAAGGCAGTTGACAGCTCAAACACCAATGTAAAGCCTAGCTTTCTTGGAAGGCCCAATCACAGAACCCTAGGGAAGGTTCATATTAACTAGATAACATCTGCTTTTGCTGCAATGGATGGTCATTTTCCATCATGGCTGGGTGAGGGCAACATTTTAGTCTGTTGGAGATTCCTTTCCTTTTCAGTAAGGTGGGTTTGCCTTGGAGCCCCCCCCCTCCAGTTTTGTTTTAGGCAACCACAGATCTCATTTTCCATTACACTTTAAAATCTTCTCAGTTGAGTGTCTCTACAAGTCTCCCATGCAGGATTTGAGTGGTTTAGGTGACAGTAAGTAGCATTAGGAATAGGGTCTATGGTATCTTACCTGCCCATATTTTGTACCTTTTAAAATACCTGCTGTTGGCATTTCTTTTTGCAGCACTTTGTCTTTTTCTTCTTTTACTGTATGTGCCTGTGTTTCAAATGGGGCAGGTGACAAATGAGATGCAGAAAGTAGCAATTGGATGTCTTTCATCCTTTAACAGTTTTTCTCCTTAGCTGATGGACTTTATTTGCTTGGGTGGGTACTTTTCAAAAGTGCAGTCCAAGAAATCTCTGCATTGCTGTTGTGCTGTTATTTTATGTGGCAATCCTTCCCACTAAAGGATTAGTTTTGCGAACAAGTGTCTTTTTTCCTAGTTTGTTTTGTTGAGAGGGTTTTTTTTTTACCTTGTGCCTAAAAATCTCATGAATCTGATCTAAAGAAATAAATAATTAAACAACAAACATTATTCTTTTTCTTACTCACTGCCAGCTGTGGGCTCCCTTCTTGAGAGATCTGCAGTTGCCTTCCCCAGAACCATATGAACTAAAAGTTTATAGTTCCCTCTAGCTTTTGAGGTTTTTCTGGCACAAGCATTTTCTGTCTTGTTGGAAATTTTGGGGCAGAGAACTGAAGAAATACAACAAAGTTCAGTTAAGATCTTTACTGTCAGTGAGATCAGTTCTTGAGGTGGAACATGAAATGATATTGGAAAGTAAAAATCAAAGAGAGAAATGACAGGGGCATCACTGCAAGGGTCTGCTATATATCTTCCAACTGAACTGAAGATCCAAATAATGCTCTTCTAGATCAGATTAGCAAATATTCAAAGAGGAGAGATGTAGTAAAATTGGGAGACTTCAAGAATCCTCTTATCTGTTGGAAGTCCAACTCTGCCACCGCTAGGGCCCAATAAATTCCTCACTTCTCTTACTGACAGAGCCAGCTTGTAGAAAGTGGATGAAGGAATGAGAGGATTAGTTATCCTATATAAGGCCTAAACCAGGGGTCTCAAACTCAAATTACCCTGGGGGCCGCTGGAGGCAGAGTCTGAGTGAGGCTGGGCCGAATCAGATTTTCTGCCAAGCAGAGCAAGAGCCCAAGGAAGCCACCCAAGAGTTTCCTTAGCCCAGCTGGGGCTCCAAGGAGGAGGAGAAGGGGCGTGCCAGCCCTCGTTGCCCGGCCACGACCCCCTCCGGCTCCTTCCTCACCACCACCAGCAGCAGGACAAAGAAGTGGAGAAGGGAGGGAGTGCCAGCGACTGCTTAGTCGAGGGGAGGAGGGCACGACATAAAAAAAAACCTTCACAGAATTCACCTTGTGAAAGGAGAAAAGCCCCCACCGGTACCCGCGAAATTAAATGGGGCACCCCCCCCCACAGGTGCATGCGCACGCATGCACACAAGCAAACACACACACAAACACACACACACGGAGGTCCAGCAACCTTCCTCTGAGGCCCCCCTGAAAAAAAAGGCACACTCAGCAGCAGCAGCTACCCCCACCATGACAGGGGAGCAAACGTTGCGAGGCGAACCCAGGCAGCCTCAAGAGTCGAGGTGGCTGAAGCAGGACGAAGAGGAAGCACCGCCGGGCGCTCAGACGACCGCTGGCCAGGCTGGTGCTGGGGGTACCCAGAGAGAAAGAGAGCCGCTTCCCTGGAAGAGGCGTCAGTGGTAGCTTGGAGGTGCTCTTCGAGGACTGGCCAGGAGCAACTCTTGACAGCAGAGGACGCATGGGTGCTTCGGGGGGGAGGCAAGGTGGGGCCACAAACAATCGTGCGGCGGGCCACATGTTTGAGACCCTTGGCCTAAACTAACAGGGAAAAACCGATCAGTAAGGTGTAAATAGTGGGAAATTTGGGTGACTCTTGGAATTTGTTATACTGGGGGGGGAAGGGAAAATCTGAGAATATTGTAATGAGCACTGTGGACTTTAGGAAAGCTGATTTCAGTAAGCATAAGGAAGCACATGGTAAGAAATATTCAAAGAGAATGGAGTTCATTATGGATGGCAATTTTTTAAAGTCAGAATAGGAAAGGCACAGTCAAAAACAATTCCTGTTTGAGAAAAGTGGAAGACACTTGAAGAAACAGGGTGACTGCTAAGAGGTTTTCAGATAAGCAATGTTTTAAAAAGGGCATGTATGAGAAATGGAAGGAGGGGCGGATCACCAAGGAGGAGCAGCCAGATTATGACCCAATAATTATAGAGAGAAAATTAGAAAGGTGAAAGTCTAGAATGAGCTCAGCTTTGCAAGAGGAGTTAAAATTAACAAAAAGCTTTGTTTTCAGGTATGCTCAAAGTACCAGGGAAATGGTAGGTTTGCTACAAAGGGGATGGAGAGAAAGCAGAACTGCTGAACACTTCCTTTGTCTCTCAAAAGGAAAACTGCTCACCATAGTGCTGGTACAATAGAGGAGGAAGGGAGGGTCTCTTACTCAAGGTTGGCAAAGAGGTGGTACAAAAACACCTAGCTGTGTTAAAGGAGTAGAATTTAAAAAATAGAATAGAATAAAGAAATAGAATAAAGTTCGATTACGCAAGCAGGCAAGCAACACCCTCTTTCCCATTCAATGCCAGCTGCAGGCTTCCATCTCCTGTTCTCTGGCTTCATACAGGAGTGATAATGGGAAGGATGGAAAGAAACTGATAGGAATGTTACCTGTACACGATGTAGAAGGAAAGGTAGGTGGGGCTCATCAGCCTTGGAAGGCAGCCCAACTAAGAGAAGGAAAACTCCGATTTCAAACCTCCACTGCCTTGTGGCTATATCCACCAATGGAAAAGGCTTCAGGAGTTAAACTCGAGGCAAAATCCAGAGCCAGAGCCCTGGAGGCAGTTTGTGTCATTCTGCCAACTCCTGCGACGTTGCTGGAACCAGTTGTATTGGCTCTTGCCTTTCCATTGGACTATTTCAGTGATATGGAGAGGGGGGATTTGGTGCTTGGGTAACAGCCTATCCTCCATATTAATCTACCAAGGCTTCGTGCTGTGGAGAGGACACTCATACAGAGCGCGTTATCATGGTCTTTCGAGACTGAAGGGTGCTTAAGGGTACTGGGAGTTCAAGTAGTAGTTGATGGTGTTGACTTCCATCCCATACCAGATTCAGACCCTTGTCTTTTCTCCATTCGCATGTTTATTTCATTATTGAAACACGTGCAGATCTTAAAATGTCCAGGTACATTTAATCAGATTCTATAATATGAATTATATTTTAAGACCGTTTCGAATAAATAAAGGTGGATGGTATTTTCACTCCTCTACTTGTAACCTAATCTAGTAAATTTATAGTAGAAATATTGCTGCTTACATATGAGAGATTCTATAATATGAATTATATTTTAAGACCGTTTCGAATAAATAAAGGTGGATGGTATTTTCACTCCTCTACTTGTAACCTAATCTAGTAAATTTATAGTAGAAATATTGCTGCTTACATATGAGAGATGGCTGCCCAGTGAGGCCTTACAAATAGCAGAGAAGAGAAGGAAAACAAAATGCAAGGGAGACAGGGAAAGTTACAGAAAATTGAATGGAGACTTCCAAAGAATAGCAAGGAGAGACAAGAAGGCCTTCTTAAATCAACAATGCAAAGAAATATTTTCCTCTGGAAAAACCAAAGATCTGTTCAGGAAACTTGGAGATGTTAAAGGAACATTTTGTGCAAAAATGAGCATGTTAAAGGACAAAAATGGGAGAGACCTAACAGAAGCAGAAGACATCAAGAAGAGGTGGCAAGAATACACAGAGGAACTATACCAGAAAGACTTGGATATCCCTTACAACCCAGATAGTGTGGTTGCTGACCTTGAGCCAGACATCCTGGAGAGTGAAGTCAAGTGGGCCTTAGAAAGCTTGTCTAACAACAAGGCCAGTGGAGGTGATGGCATTCCAGTGGAAATATTTAAAATCTTGAAAGATGACGCTGTTAAGGTGCTACATTCAATATGCCAGCAAGTTTGAAAAACTCAACAGTGGCCAGAGGACTGGAAAAGATCAGTCTACATCCCAACCCCAAAGAAAGGCAGTGCCAAAGAATGCTCCAACTACCGTACAATTGCACTCATTTCCCACGCTAGCAAGGTTATGCTCAAAATCCTCCAAGGTAGGATTCA